ACACACACACACACACACACACCGTCTGCAGTTCATACACTGCCGTCGGGTAGTATCTATAAGATTTGGTGAAACCGGCTCTAGCCTTCTCCTCTGACCCACGGCCAGGCGCAGGGGTCCAGGGTCGATAATCTGGTTGATTCCCGCGATACCTAAATAGAGAAGAGATGAATAATCGGGAGCGTGCTTGCTTTAAGCATACGACGTCCTGCGCCAACTTTACAAAGCTGATCTTTCTTGCGCTTGGCACCATTATTTATCAGCTATATAGCCTCGCTGGCTGTTTCGCGATCCTCAAGGTCGAGGACTTTCTAGCTTCGCAACATTTATCTTGTAATAGTTTTTGTGTTACCAATGGCACCGCCTCTACAGCTCTCTTGCACCATCTACTGGTCCCTGACAACCTTGTTCTGGCTCCTAGCTGTCTCGTCACAGGCTGCGCCGCTCGCGACACATTATGGCTGGGGTTTCGGCTCCTCTGTGTCGACAAAAAGAAGCGTCACTAACTTCACCCTCTGTGAAGTAGAAGCCCTAGCCAACAAGAGTGGGGGTGGAGCATGCCACCAATTCCCGAGGGACATTACTGTTATCGGCCGCGATATCACTAAAGGCTGGTTTGATCGACAGGAGGCGGCGAAACTTCAGAAGGAGTCTGAGGTAGACGTTAGCTTTTTTAGTCTTCTAGACACCCTTGACCCGCTCGGCAAGCTTCTTGACCGGAATAAGATTCCCTGGGCCGTTGCTGGCGGCCTCGCTCTGAAAATCCACGGACAATCAGATCGACACACAACCGACATCGACATGGTTGTACAGACCACTATGCCTAAGCTTCGGGCTGCACTGAGTAAAGACAAAAAGTACATAGTCCCCGGGCCTGGATGGCCGAGCGAGGCTCACCTGCGGGTTTATCGCGACAGAGGAAGTGCGGGGAAGCCTAGATACATCGAGATTGATTTGGTGATCGCCGGTGAGTTAAGCCCATACTCCGGAGCCTCCGGCTGGTCCGCAGACACTAACGGCCGGCCTAGGCACCATGACGACACCTGAAAGCTTGCAAGTCAATTCGAAGGACTTCAAAGTAGAAAACGAGAGAAAGAGGCTGATCAACATTCACGTTATGCGGCTCGGCAAGATCTTCATGTCGAAAGTCAATGCATTAGCCGCGGAACATCGGAAGAAGGACGACAAGGACATGAAAGACATCAGCTGGATCATTGACAAGACCCCGAGGGCCCTGCTAAACGTTCAAACAGACCTGTCGTACGCTCTGCGGCAGCTGGTGATTAAGCATCTCGTTCGCTTGAAGTCGCCCCTAGTCAAAAAGGCTAGGCAGCTTCTCGACGTCAACGGCCCTGCGCGGCTCTAGAGAGCGTCACCCGCCCCCTAACCTGACCAGCTACTGCTATGCAGTAAGCGTGTCTGTCTGGGTGGGTGTTAGGTATGATGGCTATAGAGACGCGAGTATCGGGAGGCGGGCAGGTCTCGGGAGGTGGTTGCCTCCATAGTGGGCTAGTAGTCTATCCGCTGCTCATTTGGAGTCTCGTCTGGTGATGGCTGTGACGGTTATGGGTTAGTTAGGTCACGAATGAGGGCGCGGGGACGGCGGGGGTAGCCCCAAGTCCCTTCACTGGCGGCTGAGGCCCCCAATGTGATTGCTGCATTTGCTGCATGTACCCCTGAAGGTCATCTGGGAGGATTATCTTCGATACATGTGAAACTATCTAAAGTTCGCCTACATGTTACGCTCACACGTTATTGAATACGCACGCGATAGGCGTAGAAATATATTCCATCAATACACCAGCGTAACTAAGGGCTGTCAAGCTATATGGTTTTTCTTTACACGCTCAGCGTAACCACGCGCACTTATTCTTATCGTCGTAAACCCTCTTGCTGTTTGAGTCGTTCCATTACCTGGGGTTTTTTGTTTTTTCTTTTTGGTCCCCCCCCCCCCCCCCTTCCCTTTCGCCACAAGGCCGAAAACGAAAGGGAATGCCGAAAGCCCCTGGCACGTATCAACCCTCACGTCGTCATATCCCATAACCTCAGAAAAGAGAAGAAAAAGAAAAGAATACCATTGACCGGCGGGGGGAGGGGAGTAGATATCATGGTTTAGTTAATGCTTGAAGATTGCCCCGTGATTGAGCCGTCATCACTCAGCGCAAGCGGTGGAAAGGTGAGTACGTGGTAACCGACTGTATTATTCTAGAATCCATGGATACCTGCTTGCTGGCCTTGTTCATCAACAGGCTACCTTGGGTCGTCCAGGTGAGCCCCCTCCTCGCCAACACCAGGCTTGAAGGGCACCCAGACGTGGGTGGTGTCGTGCTTCAGCCGCCGGAGTCATCGGGGACGGTGATTACCTTAGCCTCCCAAAGAAGCGTTCCGGGGACCTCCTCATATCCATCCCCGACCATTCTCTCAGAATGCATCCTCATCCCACTCCCAACCGATCTTAATACCTCCATTCATGATAACTGAACGCCTACTTGTGTCAGCTCGCTGAAGCTTTTCAAAGGCCAATGCTAGAGCCCAAACAGCACCTGCGACGGCGCAGGAGACAACTTCTGGGCCTGATGTGAACTCCTTCATTGTGAGGATGGTGTCCTGGCACAGGCGGTGGATTTTGGCGTCCGTCGGTTTGCTCTTGAGGGTTTCCTTAGTCATCGCCTCGGCAGCATGGCGGAAGGCGAGGTTCCTGGAGATGAAGGCCAGGGTATCATTGACTGTGCGCTGGGGGAAAGTCATCATTACGGTCGTTTTCTTTTTTTTTTCACTTTTTTTTTTTCAGCTTTCTCTTTTTCTATCTGCGGGGCTCCTGGCCACCTGTAAGCATTGTGTAGGTAGTCGGAAGGAGCGATGGGTATATATGGGTAGCGTATTCTCTAACTTAGTTAAGATTGATGTGAAGTACGGCTAGCTGAGGATCCGGTGTTGATGGGTGATGTGTGAGAATAGGCTGGGTGGTGGTCCGGGAAGGAAACCTAAGCTTGTGGGACACGGCCGAGGGTGAAGACATTCGTCTCTTGCACTGCACCCCTGGCATGGTGTCTTGAGCTTGAGGGAAGGAAGGTAAGGCGGAAACTGCTGGCTAAGGCATCCTGTGGGGGCGGCGGTGTCTTTCGATCGTGAACATGATTGTGGGTGGGGCTGTTGTTTGTAGTAGTAAGGTAGTGGTGGTGTTTGGAGGAACCCAACTCTCTAGCCTGAGCCTGGTCAGAAGCGAGGCCTTTACCTAACGGCAGAGCTAAGAGGTCTCAACACAGGCTGGCCCGCGTACAGAAGGTACCTTACGCGCAACCAGGCAGGAACAACCCGTAGGCTGGGGTGAATATAGCAGTAGTAGATAGTTTGTGATAATGCCGTATCTAGCACGATGAGGCTTATAGTAGCAGGAGCGTTGTGGTGTTAAGGGCAAGTCTTCAGCTAAGCCCTCGTGTGAAGTAAGGCATCTAACAGCAGTAGAGTCAACGCAAGCTAGCAGGGAAGCTGCGCGCCAGCAAGCAAAACACAAACAGGCTAGGCTTGAACATGATAGTTGTGTTCGTAAATCGCTTGTGACGATGATTTCTAGCACGACCGAAGGCAGTTGCAAAGGTCGGGTCGCGAATGCCCCCAATAACTAAATGCGCATACCTCTCTACGTGGGCTCGCGCGGTGCTGCAGGATGGTGCCTCGGGTAAGGTACCAGAGAGGGTAATAACTATCCAATCACTCCTAATACCTAGATCATCATTTAACCAATTAAGCGGACGCACATTAGCAAGTCTCCTATATCTGTTACGAAACAGCTTACCCTCACCCTGAATATGTTTGCTTTGCTCCTACACTTACTTATTTCACGCGCAGGGAGCTCCTTCCCCTCCCCTCTATAATAAGCTCTCTAATTAATTATATATATATATATATATTACTACGCCTGGTGCACCTTCAGAAACACCTACACAACATAAGTGCTGTTCGCAAGATGTTGAAGCCAGTAGAAAATGCTCAATGGTGCGTTTCTTATTCACTCCAGCTTATAGACCAGCTCAGCACTAATATATTAAGCAGGACTTGGAGTGTGTAGATCTGGTCTGGTGTTTTAGTAAGTGTTTTGGATTAGTAGGCAAGGTAGTTGCAGTTGTTTGGTGCCTTCCCTCTAGGTACCTTCGCTCCTGCCTTCCGAGATACCGTCTAGTGTGCCTTCCCGACTAGACGGGCTGGAATCAACTTCTTACGTCGCTGTTGACTGAAGGGCATCCTCGCCTCGCTCGCGCGCTTACGAGCAAGAAATAATGAAGTAAGGAAAGAAACGAGACAGGGACAAAACAAAATAAAAAAAAATAAAAAAAGAGAAAAAGGAAAAACCACATACAAACGAATGGAAGAAACCACAGATGACTCCTGCTGCCTACCTCTCAAACCTCGATAGACCTCCTTCAACGTATAATCGCAACCTATAATCGCAACGAAGAAACAGCCATGTCTTTATCGCTTTCTTGACTGTCTGCTGTTTAGCAGATGCAGTGAGTATAACGGAGTATTCCAAACTTGAGCTCCGCTATAGGGGGGGAAGGAACAAAAGAAAACAGGTGAAAGGACAGAAAGCCACATAACAAAAAGGAAGACACTAACTCCTAGACTCATCCAGCTACCCTATCAGGATGGACCAGCGTTATATATAACGACATGGTAGGTTTACTTACACTATACTTCACATCAACGATGAATTCTACTGATAAGTGACTAAGGTACGAGGACACATGATCTTCTGGTTCGTCCACTCTATTACCACACTACCCCAATCGCTATAGTATTGAGAACGAACGAGCTCCACGTCACTCAACGTTAAGGCAGCCAAAGAACGAAAGTTAAGCGTTTAACGCTATGTAAAAGCGCAACCTAGGGCGAAAAGGCGGGCTCTCGTGACACAACATCGGGTAGCTATGATTTACCCTCTGATTTCTTACCTCCTGCTGAGGAGAATACTGCTAACAACTATGAACAACGGGCTTTTTCTTCCGTGGTGAGGGCGCAGGACCTGGAGGCGTCATGGCCCTAGATGTAGGCCAACAGTGTCAGCACCCTGTTTTTATACTACCAGCCTCGGCACACACTTGGTTGATCACGTCCATAACGTGAGAGTGGTGATGAACTAGTAACGTCGACTGGAGATGCTTCGAAGGCGATGGGCACCACCGACTATACATGGGTTGTGGCGAGTCGGAAACATGGCCTTGGCCGGGACGTATCCTTTTCAATAGAGGCTGAACTTGATCTCTAACCTGCGTTAAGACCAGGTGCGCGCGGAGGATCTTCTGGGTGTTATCGTCCAAGGAGTAGCTGCCGACACATGAGACAGTCGTCAACATTATCTTAGGTGACTGTTCCATTGCGTGATGGTTTACAGTAGGCTCAGTGCTGTCGTTGATCCCGAGGATCAGGCGGTACGAATCCGCGATTTTGGTAATCACCAGGTACGTTAGAATAAGGATTTCCTGCCTGCTAGAGCATGGACAGCCTAGTAAGCTTTTAAGTCTGGCGAGTGCCTTTCTGTTTTCAGATAGCATATCGCCTGTATCCTTCTCCCTGGATTTGTAGTCTCCCTCAATAGCAACGAGATGAGGTGGGCGTTGTACAACTGTTAGACAGTCGGTCGCTGAAGTGTGCAGGTTTTGTAGGAGGCTTAGAGCCTCAGTGGCGCAGTCATATACCCGGCGTGTTCTATCGAAATTGAGCGCGTCACCCTTCACTTTCGGGCGTGGGCCGGCGTCCTGGATACTATTGTCTGCGTCTTTGGTGGCTCGAGTATCTCCCACACATAGGATATCGGAGTTCCCGTCAGGCTGTCTCGGATAATCCTGCGGAGAAGACGGCGTGTTCTGAATGCTAGGCGAACTTGACACTATGCTGATAGTCGAAGGATCTTCGCTTGTTGAGAGCTCCAGGGTGGGCTCCAGCAAATATATAGAGGCTGTGTCAATGAGCCAGCTGCAGTCCATGACGTCTTCAAACGAGGTTTGAGAGCAATTCGTCGGGCTTTGGGTGAAGGGATCCTCCGTCGTGCTGAATGATAGTGACACCAGCTGGGAAGCTGCGAATGATGACAACGTTCCTGTGCTACTCCCCGGCATGTCGTACGATTCGGCTAGTCGTTGACGCTCACCTGTACGCATAGACATGCTGTACTGGCAGCAGATCCCCTTCTTCGCGCACCGGTGGCATATTGGGTGCTGTTTGCCGCATCGTATTTTCTGCAGACTACAAGCGTTACACGACTGTCGGATTTGACGATGTTTGCGCTTGTGGGGCGTACGGTCTGCGCTTTGGACAAGCATTGAGGATTCGAAGGGTGAGAGATTAAGAAAGAAAGAAAAAAGGAAA